CCAGGCCCCTCTGGATGAGCTGCTCCAGGGTCTTGGGCAGCGGGTGGCGCAGGAAGCGCTTGAGCTTGGGCTGCAGCGTGCCCACCACGTACTGGATGACCTCCTCCTCCTCGGCGTCCACGTACAGCGTCTGGTACAGGTCCCGCTTGCGCCACAGGAACTGGTCCAGCGGCTCGCCCTGCTTCTGCGGCAGGTCCAGCTCGCGCTGCACGGCCTCGCGGGAGGGCGCGCCCTCGCCGTACAGCAGGAACTCCTTCTTGAAGTCCACCCAGTTCTTCACCGAGCGCTGCTTGAACTCCCACCACTTCTTGGCCGGCCCGTTCATGTGGTTCTGGATCTGCGACAGCCAGTACTCCTCGCTGCCGCCCACCTGCCGCAGGTACTCCTCCAGGTGGCTGAGGAACTCCCGCGGGTCCTCGAAGACCTGCGTGTCCACGCCGGGGCTCGGCTGCCCGTCCTCGCCCGGCCCCCAGGGCGGGTACGGGGCGTCGGCGGGCTCCCCGCCGGGCAGCTCTGCGGAGGCCGGGGGCGGGGTGATGGCGTAGGGGCTGACGGCCAGCTCGTAGGGGTCCGCCTCCTGGCAGTAGCCCTCGGGGCCGCCCGCGGACACGGCGCCCACGGGGTACTTGGCGCCGCCCCCCTCCAGGCGGTCGGCCCAGCGCTCCAGCCGGTAGAAGACCTCCCGCCACACGTGCATCTCGCGCTTGACCCAGCGCTCCAGGCTGGCCACCGTCTCCTGGCAGCGGCTCAGGCAGGCCTTGATGGACCTCTTCCAGCGCTGCGAGTCCCCGCCGGGCACGTAGCCGTCCAGGTTGCTCTCCAGCTTGCCCACCGACCTGTGCAGCCCCTTCAGCTCTCGCTCCACCTGCTTGGACACCTCGGTGAGCAGGTGCCGGTGCGTCCTGCGCACGTGCTCCAGCATCTCCGCCCGGCACTTCCCGATCTGCAGGATCACGTTGGGCTTGGCCGCAGGCCCGCCCCGCGGCGCGGGGTAGGCGTGGAGGCCGCCGCCGGTCATGCGGTCCAGCTCCATGGGGCGCGGCGGGCAGCGGGGCTCAGGCG